ACTAATTGGAGATGGGTTTGATTTGATTGGAGTGAAGCGGTTTTGTGGGATCAGGGGTGGATTTTCCGGTGGGGAACGTATTGTTCTTTATATTCTTTTCGGGGGGACGTTGCAAGCAGTGGTAATCTAGTGACCACTGCTGACATGAGATGGTCGGGGATGAACGAGAAATGCTTAAGCCTTTTCATCGTCTCACAAAAAAAAAAAAAAGCAATCATAATTACGGCTAAGTCTCAAGAGACCTCACAAGCATTTGTGCAATTGGTGAGACTTTAAAGTAATTTCAATTGTTTTGGGGAAATTAAGAGTGATTTTGCCAAATTATAAATACTCGTACACGAGTTCAAACTGAACCTTCCTGTGGTCGGCAGGCTAAGGCACTAATTTAATTATACTCCCTCCCATCCCGTTGTCCTTGTATTTGTCTTTTGAGATGGTGTTTTCAACTGTTTTATTTATACAACATCCCAATAAGAGTTAATTCAGTGTCTTTGTTCATTATCGTTATTATTCAATATATATATATATATATATATTTTATACAAGCCTGCAGTATCGATCTTGATGAATAAGAACTTACATTAGGATAAATAAAACGCAACTAGCTCCTTCATTATTTACATGGATAAAATCTTTAATTTTTAAGTTTGTCTCGATTACCAATTTAATCCTTTAAGTTTAATTTTAATCAATTTGATCTTTAAATTTAATTTGTCCCAATTATTAATTTAGCTCTTAAATAAGTTAAAATTTACTACCATGGATATCACGATGACAATCAATATAAAGAAATAATAATTATTCAGATAGAAAAAAATACACACAAGTCATTATTTAAAGGATTAATATAATAATTTAAAAAAAATAAGGAACCAAATGAATAAAAACTAAATTTAAGGGATCAAATCAATAAATGAGACAAATTTAATAAACTAAAAATTTTATTATTCTTATTATTATCATCATCATTATTCAAGGAGATTTTATATATATATATACATATATAATAAGCTTCGAGTATGGATCCTGAATAAGAACTTTCCTCCTCTTGCGCTGAAACTGAGTTTTAGACGACGAGTGTGCTTCAGAGTTTTGAAAGTTGAATGACTCAAGAGGCATGGCAGAGCTGGTGGGGGGTGCTGCTTTAGGAACTGTGTTTACAGAACTTTGGCAAGTAGTTTCAGAAGCCAAGGACCGTGTTAAAGACTTCAAACCTAAATTGCGGGACTTGGAAAACACACTCCAAGATCTAGTTCCAATGATAGAAGACATAGAAAGATTAAACAGAGACCTGAATGAATCGGATCAGCGTGAAGTAGAACGCTTAAAATCAATTATGGAAGAGGGCAGCGACCTGATTTCCAAGTGTCTTCGCTTACGACGCTGGCAGATTATCAAGAAGTCATATTACCACAAGAAGCTGATAGAGCTGGACAGCAAAATCATCCGATTCAACAATAAACATATCGAATTGGGCACATTTCGAGAGGTCAAGATTCTGCGTTTGGAAGTCAACCAACTATCCGATCACATTCAAAGCGTAATAAGATCTTGTACTCTTACTTCTTCCACTCCTTCATTTTCTTCTTCAGGAGCTAACGAACAACATGAAGCAGGTCGTGGCAATCTAAACCAACCGATCTACCGCATAGCTGCAACTGGAGTACTCATTTGCTTAGCTTTTCTATCTAGCAGGGCTGAAACACGGACAATAATCGTCATAGTTATTGTTATTGTTATTATCATTTACAAAGCTATCAGGTCTATGCTTGAAAGTTTTGATGAGAGTGGGGTATGGATGGTTATAAACGATGTGGGTACGCTCAAAACGACAATTGAACAGTTGGAGGATACTATGAAGTCACTAGATCCTGTGCTGGAGGAGATAGAATCAAGGAGAAAACACGTGGTGATGATGAATGAAGCAGATCGAAGTGAAGCTGCCGAGTGTGGAAGAATAAGAAGATTGATGCGAGAGGGTGAGAAGCTGGTTCGAGTGAGCTCCAATATCGTATGGTGGAACTTCGTTAAAATTTGGGCGTACCAGAAAAAGATGGTGGAGCTGGATAACAAGCTCTTGAAGTTTCTTAGCCTTTACCTACTAACTTACTTGGCAAACAATCATGACAACGGTGACGCCAGAGAAACGCGTGAGAATGATGATGCGTCGTTCAAGCACGCACATTATGATGAGGTACGAATTGATCGATTTGCAATCCATAGGGTAGTTAAAACATTTTTCAAAGTATACACATCTGTCTCTTTTCTGATCATCCATGTTATTTAAGAAGTGTGAGAAATGAAGTTTTGTTTTGATCGTGTGTTGTTTTGATTAACACTTGATTTTCGGTGCTAAGGAGTTTATGTTAAGCATGTGATGCCATTGGAACATTTGTCCGTGTGAATTATAATTTCACAGTGGCTATAACTAAAAAAATTTAAAAACCAACATATCATACTATAGTTTATCAATGTATACGTAATGAAAAAATATTGAATTTTTAATACATGAATAAACATATATTGAATTTTGTGTCCCCTCCCTTCCACTCCAATCCAACCAAACATATCTTAAGATAAGAAATTTTTTTTTTTCCCCAGAAAACTAAACCAAAGTCCTGAACAAGCTCACATATTTAGGAACGGAGGAAATATCGTTTTGAAACACTATGTTGCGTAATTCAATTTTTGTTTTTTTGTTTTTATCTTCCAGGTATTTAATAAGAAAAATCCAATTAGGTGCATGGTTTGAATATGTTTAAAAAAAGACTGCTAGAGGCATTACTGAGAAGTTGATTAGATGCTTTAACAACTCTAAATAGTGAAGAGACCAAGAAATACACTCAACAATGAGATTTTAGGGTGAAGCAAGTTTTCTTTAAGGAATACAATTAGATTGTGTAATTTATATAACCGACATTATTTGGTAGAACAAGATTCATTGTTGTTGTAGTTATGGTTAGGAAGTTCCTTTGTTATCTAGTTGGGAGCAACTCAAGACTAGTTTTTTGGCTCTCTCTATTTGCTTTAATTAATTTAAGCAAGTTTCTTCTCCATGTCTTGGATTTGGACGTGACGATTGGGGGATGTGTTTTAAGTTTGTGACTTTTAAACACAAGAGGGGTCATCATCTCTACGATATGTTCTTATTTTATACGCACTTTCCAAAGTATTTTGATGGGCTTCGTAATGAATTAACTCGTCAAGAAATAAAGCAAAATGCATGTATGAAGGCTTGGGTTGATACATAAAATGTCAAATTATGTGATTTATGTGATCCAATTAGATTGAATTTGGACAGACTTATGCATTTATATGAGTTTCGACTTACAATTACATTTACAGGATTCCCATGCAATGAAAGGGAGGCATACGAATACGAGAGATCATGAATCGTACGGCATGCCGAACTATATTGAGCCCTATCAGTACTTGGGCTATAACCCTCCCACTCCAAGTTCAAGTTCGATGGGAGTGTTTCAGCAGTATGAGTTGGGACGCTAATACAAAGAGCTGCAACTTTCACATTTTGATTCTTTTTTAAACATTTTGATGTTATCATGATCAACATGGGGCTCAACCTGTATGCACTTGCACTGTTGAGTGTTGACCCCGCTGGAGCAACGTTCGTCTACAATGTAAGGAAACCAATTGTTATGGGTATTTGGATTCATAATGTATTAAATATTTGGATTTTTTTTTTCTTAGCATTAGTTTGGGCCTGCATATATGTGCTTGTGATATCTTCTCTTTGATTGCTTTTAATGCAATTTTGTGATTGTTTCTTGCGTTTGTGATTAATCTACACCTTCTCCGTTCAAGTCAACTTTGAATGAATGTAAATAGGAATTTAGAATAGGTCCTATAATTAATAGTTAGAGATTGCATGAAATAGAAACAATGTGCGCTGTTTAAGTTGGAAGTAGATGGCATTAGAACTGAGCAGGGAGATATTGTTTGTGCTGCTGCAACTTGGATTAACAATGAGTAGGATTTTTGCTTTTTCAAAAAATGTACTTCCGGTCCCCGATGACCTACGGCTATATCAGCTCTTGTCTATGGTTTGGATTTTTACTGGAATAGAGAATACCAAAATATTGTGGTGGACCCTACCGGTGCTGAAAGTTTTAACTTGCCGAGCAGGGAATTTTCTACCAACACGCCTTTGTTGGAAGATCTCAATCAAGCTTCAAGACTTCTCTTGATATCTACTGCATCTCCTAGTAACTCTTCGGAATATTTTGAATACATGTCTTGTTAGTTTTAATTCTTTTGGTGGCTTTTATAGTCAACCTTCTTAATTTTTTAAGGGGGTAGATCGTGAAAGGCATTGTGTTTTTTTTCTTGCTTTGTATCTATTTTGCTGTGCTTGCTTTTCTGTGTTATATATTGATCCGTATTTCCATTCAAAAAAGAAAATAAAAACAATTTGTCTATCTGGATAGGTAATATACTGACTAGCTTCTTATAGTCTAATAGCATGGGATCTAATTGAACCATGGGACTAATATAATGCACTAGCACAGGGGATTATACACTGCAAAGGGGATTATGAGTAATATAATGCACTAGCTAATGCAGTACCATATATGAAAACCATCCACTGTTTGGTTTGCCTTACTTATAGTTTTTCTTCTTCTGTTTTGCTGTTTGGATTTTCTTTTCTTCTTTTTTTTTTTTTCTTGGTGGCCGTCATATGGGAACCTAGTGAGCATGGCAGGAATTCCTCTTTTTTTTTTTCGAACTACACGAGATTCTGGATTCTGTAGGTTTTTTATTCCCTATCATATGAATGCCTAATTGACTAGACTATTCACACAACTACTAACCAAAATGCAAGTTTGATCAAAAGGGTAACATATACATCTTACCAAATTATAGTTAGATAATTGCCCAGCATAACATATCTGATAGATTGCTTCAGCAAAGACTGATAATGATCAGGCAATTTTGATATGATAGTTTCCCAAGATATTGTAAATCTGTAATCATCGGCCAAATAAGGAGAATAAATACTACAATAATATTTACAGAAAGAAACTTTGAATAAAGTACAAACGTTCCATCTAGTGAAAGAAAATAAAAAATACAATGTAATTGCACATCCTACACTGTGCAAGCATGCTTAAAAGTCCGTGATACGCTCATTTTGATGAGTTTTTATCACTTCCTTAATCCTCGCATCCCCGGCCAGTTAACGAGTTCATGTTTCTACGGTGGATAAAGTTTTGTCAATCAGCAAAGGAAACTAATCATAACGATTAAAAAACAAAAAATTTAATCTAATCCTGGCAATGAGTAAAGGACTCTATATAATATTGATACAGAAACACAAAAGTTAGAAAAGTCTAGCTGTACCTTCAGCCCCTGCTAGCCATGTAGGAAGGAACAATGACCCCCAAAAAAGAAAGAAAAGAAAATGGCGAAAAGTTCAGTACAAAACAAGTATGATCTGAGAGAAGGGCTCGAATAAGGAACTCTACACTTGTATCTGGTTAAGGACCGATATAGCCACTCCAAATATTGAGACTAAGACTAACGGTTAACACAACATTAAACAGAATTAAATCCATTTCACAGAGCTCCAACAAACAGTAGTTCCAGCATAAACCAAAGAACTATTCCCTTAAACAGAAAGAAAAGACTTTGGTCACAATATATTTCTGAAGAATCTTCAGACAATAATAACTGCGCACTCTATTCTATTGAGATGAAACATTTTGGTTCCCTCCCCTCCCCTCTCAACCCTCCCCTCCGGATTGAGGGGATTTGAAGGGATTCCTCCCTCTCATCCTTCATTAAAATCCCTCCTTTCCCCTCCACTCTAATGGAACATAGTGTAACAAAGGAAAACTACACGAAAGCATCTCATACATAGCCGCATTGAAAATTAAATCCCAATTCCAGGTAGTTCCACTGATAATCCTCTTGGCAAGTAAATTAAAACTAAAAAAAAACCAGTGAATCTGTGCAGAAAAAAGCACAGATTTTCGACAATTTAGCCAATATGAGTAACTTAATAAACGAACCTGAAATCGCATAATTACCTCTCCTTTGATTCAATCATTCGGAAAAAGTGAAAGCCACGATAAATGAACAGAATCTCAGAGTCATCTATCAGATCTTTTCTCAAATCAGAACCAAACTGCAAAACCTGGAATCTCAACAAAAATCCTCAGCACCAACCTTCCGCCGTCTGAGCCGTATTTTTCGATTTCTCGAAGAAATTTATTATCGGTATCTCCAGATTTGACGGGAAAACTATTTGAGTATTTCCAACAATTTAACCTATACAATTTATTAAACGAACATGTAAACACGAAGCTACGTTTATCTTTATATTCAATCTTTCAGGAAATCAAATAAACGAACAGAATCAGAGAGTCATCGATTAGATCCCTTTCAAAATAAGCATCAAACCAAAGAAAACGTCGAATCTGACCGAAAATGTTCCGCCAAACTCGAATCCGTCGATACCAACACTCGCACATCAACTTCTAAGCTGCTTCCGCCAATTTTCGTATACTCCTTGTCTCCGGATTCGGCGGGAAACCAGGGAGGGGGGAGATTTTTGGGTGTGATGGAGGAGACGAATCGAGAGTTCGTGCGTGAATCTAAAACAACCGTTCGATTGGAAAAAGAAGGGCCGTGATGGGCTTAGATGCACGCACGAACTCCAGATACGGCTCATCTCTGTCGGAAAGTAGGGTGTGATTTGCTACACTCAAAATGGAAAAGATAGAATCTGGAAGCCAATAGAGTTCGGCACTCAGGGTGGCCCCGTTATATAGGGAGTGAGCAAGGCCCTTGGATTAGGGTTTTGTTCTGTTTTTGTGTCACATCCCCACCGTCACGTTGATGCTTAAATTAGTTACCTAATCCAGCGAGGTATTGCTTTTTCTTGTAAAATCATCAAGCACTAATTTTAGCCATTGATATCAATGATCTAATCACGTGATACATCCTCCTCTTGTGCAAACCTCTGCAATAATTGTTTTTTGTAATGGAATATCTTCTAGAAGTCTGATTTATTATAAAATATAATTAGATAATTTTAATAATTTTTTATTAATTATATCTCTACTTTATTTATTATTTTTTAAAAAAATATATTAAAATTTTAATTGTCATTATGAGGATAAGATATTTAATAAAAGTATAATTAAAAAAATTAAAATTGAGGTTTTACTTAATTCTTTTTTAGAACCATAAGATGGCTATCAATGTTCTATATTATGTGATACAAAGAGAATATATATTAACATTTTCTTATTTTATCTTCATGAATTGGTTGTGCATTAATAACATCAACTAGGGCTGGACAACAAGTAAGATGAGCTTGCCTGAGAGGTTGCTCATAAGTTGTCCCATCATCACAAAAATAGGCTAGGCAAACCCATACCCTTGAGAAATCCATTTTTGCCTAGTTCAAAATGAGGCTGAGCTAACCCATTTTGAAGGATGCCCTTTTCTATGAAAAAAAAGAAATCAATGAGGACCTAAACTTCGTCTTCTGGTTCTTTTAGAGATTTAATACAAATTTTTAAACAATATCTCAAAGAAAACAACTTAAGATGTTTCATACTATAATCATCCAACCATAATTTAATCTTCAAATCAAACGACACATCATTAATCAAAGTATTAAAAAGTAAACCACACACAAGCTTACGAAGTTGGAAGTGAGAACGAAGGAGCAATTGAGATCAAGCAACAGCAGTTAGCAAGTGAATTGGAAGAGGATAATAGATGCCTATAGGGAGGAGTCACTGCTCATGGAGCAACAAGCTTAAGGCATAAACTAACAATGAATTAAGAACTACAGTTTTAAAGACGAAGAATAAAGAAGGCAGTCGAGTAGTATGTCTCTGGCAACAATGGCAACGTCACAGCTCGCAAGATGTAATATAAAAGGGTTTTAGTTTCAAAGATGAAGAATGAGAAGGCAGTCGAATAGTATGTCTCTAGCAACAGTGGCAAGGTTGCGACTCCTAAAGTGTTTTAGTTTTATAGATGAAGAATGAAAACGGTCATATTGTGTGTGACTATAAGTGTTTACCTATGTGTGTGTTAGGGCTGCACAAAAAACTAGACAGCACTAGACTCAGGCTTAACCTAAAGTTTGATCTCTTTCATAAAAAAGACAGGTTAGGCAATTCATAATTCGATCTTGTTTAGTGATAACTCAAAGATTAACAAGACCGAACATGATCCATAGGACTAGAATATTGGTCTTGTTAGTCCAATACTCACTTAACTTTTTTTTTCTTTTTTCTTCATGAGAGGCAATAATTGATTCCAATCTAATAAATTCAATTAAGATAATAAAAACACTTATAATCATAATAAATTCATATTATTTCTAACAACAAGAAAAAATATTTCAGTTACAATCTAATTTAAATTTATAATTTTAATAAAAATAACACTCAACAAACTTTAACAATGTAACATCCTGAAATTTAACCCAAGATTAATTAAGTTAATCAAGGACAAATGAATAATTTAAGAGAAATATTTAAATATAAATAATTTTAGTTAGGAGATTATTGTTGGATTTAATTTAGTATAAATTTAAATTTTAAGTTATGATTTTTTTAGAGAATAAAATTATTATTATTTATTATTATTATTATTATTATTATTATTAAAAGAGAAAAGGGAAATATAAAACCAAAAAAAAAGGAGGAGGAGGAGGGAACAGTAACGCAGACATTGGTGTGTGTGTTTAATGTGTATATATACAGAATAAAAGAAAAGAAAGAAGGAAAGTGAATTTAAAAAAAAATTAAGAAAAGGTAGGGGCGGGATCGTTTGTGTGTATAATGTATTAACAAAAGATAAAAGAAAAGGTGAGGAGCAAAAGTTGTGGGACCTACATGATTTTTTAAAAGTCAACAAAGCCTTTTTACCTTTTCATTTCATTCTTCTTCCTTTTCGTTCTGCGTTCACGTATAGAGAGCGAGCAATAGTAGGAACTGATTTAGAAGGTAAAGCTTCATAATAAGATATTTCAGATGAGATTTTAGTATTCTAAGACTAAGTAAGTGTTTAAACATTTTTTTCCTTAGTCGTTTTTCTATTTGAATTGCAGATTTTGATATTTTAAAAAACCTAAGGTTTGAAAGAGGATAAATTTTTTATGAGTAAATCTGGTTGTTGAGATTATTGGAAGTATAATAAATATTCTAAAGTATTATTTTGTTGATAGAATTGAAATTTGAGGCATTTGAGTTTTTTACTAGATTCCTATGGATAGATTTTTGGTTAAATCTGAAAATATAAATTGATTTGTTGATATTTAAATGATTGTTTGAGATGAGAAATAAATTATTATAACTATAGAATGATGATTCTAGGCTTAAAATCAAGTTTGCAATTTTTGAGTATTTTTATATGCGAATTTTTAGAATAAAAAGGGGAATTTTGATATTGAAAAATTATTGAATGATGTTTTGTAGCCAAACTTCAATGAAATTATTGTGAATGAAACTATTGAACAAAGTAGATATGTTTAAATACATGAAATTAAATTTTAAAACTCAAGAGGCTAAGATTAAGGTCTTAAAAAAATGAAATAAAATAAAATAAATACTTAGGTGTTAGAGTATGAGTGAAAATTGTGTTAATAATATTATTGACACATTGGGATATGATCAATTATAGATTAATTTTCTTTTGACACATTTAAGCTTTGAAAAGTTTTGGAAGTGTTGTAACTTGAGGGGTAACCTTTGACCTCTCAAAGATTGAGGTAACCGAGAAAAATCTATTTTATGCATTTATATGTTAATTAATTAATTATGTTGGTGAAACAAAAGAATATATATATATATATATATATCTCTAAAATTTAAAATGGTTGTTTGTAATGCATGTAACTTTGTTGAGACTTTATGATTTGTAACCAAGTTAATTGTGACTTAATGTGAGTAATGAGATTGATGGTTGATAATGATGTGTACACTCTTGGTTATAAATTGTAGATTATGCATAGTGATAAATTGTATATGAGCATATTGAGTTTTATATAATGCTAATGTGGTTTACATGGTAATATAAAATTGATGCGAGAGGCATGATTGAAAAAAATGATGATTCTTGATATTATTGAGCAAGAAAGTTGATGAGCATGTGGGATAATTGTGAATTATATATATATATATATATATATGAGCTTTTGAAATGTATTTTCTCATGAACATGATCATATGGCGGGAGTTTGCCTTAGTAAAGGAGTTAGCGGATTTGTAAAATCTATATGATACTTGGTTATTAACCAATAATCCTAAGGGTTATAGCCACTACTTACCTTGTAGGGTACTGTAGCATTGTTCATATTAAGAACTTGACCCTACTAACCTACCTAAGGTTTTGGATAGAGCTAGTTTTGGGTATGACACCTCATAATATGTGATTTGAGGAAAATCGTGTTCATTAGTGATTAAGATATCTAACATATTCATACCTAACGATTTTCCGCAAAGTGGTGACGAAAGGTATAACTTGTACAAATCTTTCCATTTTCCAATTCGATCCGATCCATTCATTCATAGAGCTATTTACTCGATCGCAAACATTTCTGGAACACCTCTAACAGAGGGACAAATAGTCAATTTTGAAAGAACTTATTGTCAACCTCTTTCAAAGCCGAAGTACGACAGGGGCAAGGGAATTTTCAGTGGAGCTGTGAAATGCATAGAGATCAGAAGAACACTAACGGTGAAAGCACTCTACTGGGCCGACACTGACACTGAGAGACAAAAGCTAGGAGAGCGAATGGGATTAGATACCCCAGTAGTCCTAGCTGTAAACGATGGATACTAGGCGCTGTATGTATCGACCCGTGCAGTGCTGTAGCTAACACGTTAAGTATCCCACCTGGGGAGTACGTTCGCAAGAATGAAACTTAAAGGAATTGACGGGGGCCCGCACAAGCGGTCGAGCATGTGGTTTAATTCGATACAAAGCGAAGAACCTTACCAAGGCTTGACATGCCGCAAATCCTCTTGAAAGAGAGGGGTGCCTTCAAGAATGCAGACACAGGTAGTGTATAGTTGTCATCAGCTCGTGCTATAAGATGTTGGGTTAAGTCCCATAACGAGCGCAACCCTCATGTTTAGTTGCCAACGTTGAGTTTGGAACCTTGAGCAGACTACCGGTGATGATAAGCCGGAGGAAGGTGAGGATGACATCAAGTCATCATGCCCCACCCTGACCCGGTAGCCCCTCACGATATGATTAAGGCCTTGGGCAGTCTCACCACATGGACGATCCATTCCGATTATTGGCCCACAAATTTCATGTCACAAGAAATGAGGGGGAATATAAGGAAAAGATTGATCATGCATATTATTATTATCATGCCATTTGAGTGGTTGATAGCTATGTTGAGCATATGATTATAATTGTGGAAATGAGAACATATAGTAATTATGTGAATAATATATATGTGGCCATTTGTGCAAACTTTGTACTTGACTTCTTGAGATTATTCATATGAGTTAGATGTTAATGTGATTAACATGTTATTAATGTAATTGTTTATATGGTCACCTTGATAAACTTATTAGCCACTTGCATTCATGATTAATTACCATGCATTTGTATAACTTAGATGTACCTTGGTTATTGAGTGGTTGTACTCACCCCTCTTTTTTAACATAATACAGGAGCTAACTCATCTCAGAAAAATAGAGAAAAGGAGCATTAGGTCGAATGATAATAATCACTTCTGTA